GATAATTTTAAATATGGTAATAATACAATAAAATGCTGGAACTTTTGCAGGGAGGCTTCTGTTTCTTTTAAATCTGGCCTTAAATACAATCACATATAAATAATATTGTATTTTGATTAAGTTTCTGTTGTTTAAACATCCAAGTACGTCTTAAATGAGACAAAATTTTAATTTAACAACAAAGTGTTGGGAAATTTGTGGCTGTACAAAAAATTGTCATTTGGGGGATATGTAAGTAATTTTGTTAGGTTTTTTTTATATAGATATGTTTCATATATTCCCAAAATGGCTGAAGTGATTAATCAGATTTATTTAATTGTGATTAATCAGTTATTAATAATTATTGTTATAATTATTGTACCCCAGCTAATTCTTAATAATTAACTGGGGTACAAACTCAAAAAAAAGTTTTTGTTCTATTGACTTGATGCACCAAATCAACATATTTATTTTGCATTTAAGTCAAAATTCTTTGTAAGTATGGTTTACCCAAAACTCCTTAAATGGTACACGTTTAGCTTCACCTGGTTCAGATTTACAAAATAAATGCTGTTATTGTATTTTAAGCTCTTTAATATTTAAAAAAGGAATTTAATTATTTGCTTCTTTAGGGCTTGTAATGCAAATAAACTAATTTATCTTAAGTGGTTAAATGAAAAATCTGTAGAATGTGCCACTTTTTTATCCGATTAATCAGTCAGCCAAATATCTAACAGATTAATAGATTACTAAAAAAAATTGTTAGTTGCAGCTCTAAGTCCCACTGAATAAATTTTCCAAAAAAATAAAAAAATAAAACACTTTACCAGCTGGATTAATAAATTTATTCATATGTGTATCTTTCTTTACTGTGGAAGTATGTTTTTTTCAACCATATTCCTGACTAGCTTGTCAAAATGTTTTGTGTTTTGCATGTTATGATGACTTGCTGCCATCATTCCATGTTTTTAATAGTTTTTTTTTTTTTTGGTCTTTTGTAGAAATACAGAACACAATAAAACCTGACTGTGTTGGTGTCTCGACAGATTTCAGGTTCAGAAACCAAAAGAGAGCAACAATTCAACAGGTGTCAGTGATCACAGAGAAGGAGCAGATATCAGTGACTCCTGCTGTCGCTGTCTGGATGGAAGTCTGGTAACTAAAATATTCTTCTTTCACATAGTATTCTTCCCGTCTCATCCTGGGTTTGTAACAGATATTAGATAGAAATGACACACGGTACAAAGAAACGTGGGTTTATTCATGATGACAGAGAGAAAAAAAGAGTTCATTTTTTCTGGTGAACAATATAATCAAATGCTGCCTTGTTTTTGTTCACATAATTTTCTGGAGTGCTGATTTTAATGGTGGGCTGGTTTTTGTCACACATGCTAAGTTTTAAGTTATTATTCGCCAAGGAGTTTCTTTTTTTTTGTTTTATTATCATGTTTAAACTGCGGCAGTGTCTGTATTCAAATATAATATTGTATAAAATATGTAGCTAGCTTGACTATGTGAAATTCAGCTGACAATAGTCTTCAGAAAACAATCTTTCTTTTAAGTCCTAATATTAGGAAAACAATGACAGTGGAAGGAAGCAGAGCCATGCTGAGTGAAATAAGTATTTACTCTGATCTGGCATAATCCATTCGAGATAAAAATCCATAAGCACAAAGCAGATAAATGGCAAAAAAAATCGCACTCGATTACATACCAGATGCATGAGGAAAACTACAAATATGAGTCAGAAATTTACCTGTTGCACACAGTGCTTTCACTCTTTGACTTCCTGCTCTGTTTATACAAAAATAAAGGCAGAACAATAAAACAAAACAGAAAAAATAAAAATAAAAAAATTCCTGGAAGTTGAGGGCATTCGTGGGGAGGGTTTACGTAATGAGTGATGGGCCGTTTCGACCCGTCCTGTGGTGAAGCTGAGAAATCTTCAGAGCAATGGTCGCCAGGGGTGCCAGCATCACCTGTCCCAAACGAGAACCATGAGGTCAGAGACCGATGCCCCTGGACATCACAAGACCCAGTGACTAATTTACAACAAACTATTTGGTCGCATCACAACTGGGCCCGTCACGATAACAAGTGTCACCGGACGATAAATTGTCCCAGAAGTTATTTTGCGATAAACGGTAATATTGTTGCTTGAATACTGTTTTCTAGAAATATAATGGTAATAACATATTTATGCAAGAACACATTCTCAAATATCAATAAACTTTAAATTGTAAAGAACATTCGACACCGGAACTGGAAGACATTTTAAATACATAATAAAGTACATTAAAGTTTATGGCTGCAAAATGGCAAAATGTGCAAAAGTTATTTTTCTTTTTTGTTTTGTGCTGCCCTGTGTATGTAAAGATGTAGCTGCTGCTAATCGTACTGTGATTGGAGTGAGCCGTTTCTGCCTCTTTACCTGCGTCTCTTCAAACAGGAGTTTCCTTTCGTGGCTGTCGATGTAGATCCTGACAGTGGCTCCCTCGGCGCCCGTCCCACCCAGTCTGTAGACGATCCTGGAGCCGTCAGAGAAGATGATCCGCAGTCCCTGCGGTGGAAACAGATAGCAGGTTTTGTTGCTTACATCAAGAGAAAAAGACACAATGACTACAAACTCGCATACCTGGTTCCGGGTTATGGTGCTGTCCAAGGGGTCGGTGTATTCGAAGTTGTCGGCTTTTTCCACCTGGTAGATTTTGTCCTCGACCGCGAATCTCTGCTTCACGAAGGACTTGTCAGAGATCAGAATCTCCAGGTCCTCCATCATGTCACACGCCGCATCTATGTCTACGTTCTCGTAGTCATATCTGGAGGACATAGATGAAGAAGAAGAGATTCAAATTTCATAGCGTATGTTACATGGACTCGCAAAGCAGTCGGTTATCAGTGGTTGACAGCTGATCACAGAAGAATCAAAAGACTTAAAATCAGCTCACGATAAGGCGTGCAGCTGCAAAGGATTAAACCTGAGCTTGTTTGGAAAAAATAGAAAGGAAGAGAAAAATCCTCTGGCAATGTAGTGGCTTTAATTCTCCACTAGGTGTCACTTATGTTCTCCATTCTTCTTCTGGGAACAACTTTCTACCCGGAAGGAGGTTTAATTGGACAATATTTATATTAAACGTATCGTGCTTTTGCTAATTCACCAGAGCAGGACAAAATATGAAAAAAAAAAAAAAAAGAAAATTCATTTTTTTGAAAAATTTTTTTAAAAGATGACAAACACTGATGCATTTGACAGGACCATTATTGATACGTCCTGGTAGAGCTGCGTGAAAAGCATTAAAATACGTTTTTATGAATAAAATTCAATATGAAGAAATAATTTTTTTTTTTTTTTACAAAATCATCGGTGACAGACTGAACATTTCTTAGAAAACACCTCACCTTTTAATAAATTTACAAAAAAAACTCCAAAAAATAGCATAAAATGAATCATACTGTCAATAGAATATTGAGGAAAGAAATGTAATTAATACAATTTGGAACAAGGCGGTAACATAAAATGTGGAATAAGTGAAGCACTGTGAATACTTTTGGAATCAACTTTATCTGAAATATTATTTGGTAATTTGAACTTCTTAGGGTTATTGGAACTTTTAATTGCAAATCCACATGGTCCCGTTTTCCCAGGGTATAAATTTAAAACGTTTCTTTAGGTGTACACTTCAAAGACCTTTCTCTTAGCCACTCTTCAAAACTGCAAAAACAACAAAGCATCCAGATAAAGTAAAAGAGGCGTTCTGTTTTCCAAAAGGCCGGAAATGACTACGATTTTTTTTCTCATGCCTGCCCAGATCTTTGGTCATTTCAATTATTTTCTTTAAAAAAATTCTAGATCAAGTATTGGTGACAATGCGCCCGGTGCATAACTGAAGATCTATTCTGTTTATTTTTATTCGGTGTGCTCTGAGCAACGTCATATTTTATTATGTGTTTTACGTTATATTTAAAACAAATATAATGCTTAGTAGGGAGTTTGTTTTTTTTTAGTTTAATTTTACGTTTGACCAACTTAGTAAACCAATTGTTTTCTGCCAGTTTCAGTTTCTTTATTGTTTATTTTAAATTGGCTGCTACACTCCTAAGTTCATTGATTGAACACATCAGAGTTGCATTGTTTTTACATTATTGTGAGGTTATTGGTGTATCGATGTGTTCTGCACTGGTTCATAAGTTTATTAAATAAATTTAGAATTCCGTACATTTATGTCTGTGTTTAAAAAAAGAAACATTTCAACACTGTTTTTGTGTTATCAGTAGAGACTAAACCTCAGATATCGATATCAGTATCAGAAGTGGAAAACGGTACAGAAGCTGGAGACAAATCAACATGTCTGTTTATGCTACTGCAATAAAATATGGAGCCATTTTACAACTTTTTACACATCTTCACCATGGGCGCCATGAAACAGGAAGGATACCGCCTGCTGCATGTCCGCCACTTACCTTGTGAAGTAATTCCTTCCATATTTTAGCCAGTGATCCTTCAGAATATCCTCCACACTCTGCCGTCTGGTCGCGATGATGGACAGCCATGCCAGCACAGCCCAAAGCCCATCCTTCTCCCGAATGTGGTCCCCACCTGTATGTAGTTTTAGAGTTTCCACCTCACAAACACTACAGCCTCTTTAAATCTCACAGTAGAAGTCGTACCTGTTGCAAAGCTTTCCTCTCCGCACAAAGACAGCATGCCGGCGTCCATCAGGTTCCCAAAGAACCTCCAGCCGGTGGGAGTTTCATGCAGCTCTATTTTCGTTGCTTTGGCTACTCTGTGGACAGTTGGATGAGAAAGTATTCTTGGCCGCAAACAGGAAATGCTACTTAACCGATCTGAGCGTCTTAAAAAGCAGGGGGTTAAGTCGATACTTGGCCAGAGTTTTACCTGTCCAACGCCGTGCTTGTGGGCATGCTGCGGGCAAAGCCTCTGACGCCCGTGTGCTGAAAGTACGGGATGCAGAAGATGTTGTCGGCTACCACAGCCACGGAGTCAGACGGAGTGACGAAGAAGCCGTGCTTACCCAGGATCATGCTGCGGTCCTGGAAAGAAATCACAGGCAGAGGTTCGAAATCAAGTTCAGATCATCTGAGCAAAATTGGACTTTAGCAATCGTCTAAAAGACGAGAGAGTTTTATTTCACTTTCTAGTATAAAATCTAAAAAAAAAAAAAAAAATGTTTTAACACACCCCATCCCCGTCGAACGCTGCTCCAAAGTCATACTGTCCGTCTCTCATGCTGTCAACCAGGTCTGTGGCGAACATAAGGTTCGGATCGGGCGGTTGACCTCCGAAGTCTTCCAACGGGACACAGTTAATGGCAGAGTTAGCTGGGCAGCCCAGCTCCTCACACAGTATTCTCTTCACATACAGTCCCAGCACTGGACAGCAGGTGGAGTTACAGCAAAGGGAGGTTTAAGACAGTTAGGATTTTAACCAGCAGAACCAGAAGTGATTTTTATTTTTCAGGAGCTTTAGTTCTTCAGAGTTAAAACTATTGCTCACCTCCATGCATGGCGTCCAGCCTTATGTTGATGTGATTCTCGCCAGACAGAAGTTCCTTCAAAGCCGCAAAGTCAAAGATGTTCCTCAGGAGGTTGGCGTAAGACTCCACAGGGTCAACTATCTCCACTGAACACAACAAATAGTAGAAACAAAATGACGCTACAAGTTAAAGGACAGTAAGACGACATCTAAAAGCTTATCTACAAGTCTGTATGCTAACTAATCTACCTTCTACTTTCTCTATTTGCAAGAAGTATTTGAAATTTTAAGCCTTTGGTTTAAATCCTCAAGAGTTGGTAACATTATAAAGGAGGCAACTGTTGTTCTCAAATGTTGTGAAACTCCAAATCTAACTTATATGAGGATTTCTTCCTTCAGTGTTTTATGTAGACCATGTTGCCTGTCTGACAGATACCTGCAACAGTTAACTGCTTGTTTGTCTCTATCAAATAAAATCCCAACAGAAATCATTGAGCTATGTGGTTATAAAGTTCAAGAGGTGGGAGTGCTTTTAGAGGACTCTGTAGCACATAACAAAAAAACCAAAAACTACACACAATGCCATAAAACTTATGTGATAAACAGTTTTCTTAGGTTGTTTTCACACCTGATATAGCGCGATATATTCGGTTCGATTGGGGACCAAAATTGCAACACTTAATACATTTTCAGCTGGTGTGGTTCACTTTCACACTCCACTGTGTCAAATGTTCCAGACTAATTGAAAAACCTGTGAACAGGTGAGCCAAGAATCACTGAAAAAACCCACTCAAAACCGTCTGAAGAAAACACTGAGCACAACTGACTTCTTCAGAAAATGTAAACAGAAACGGAGTAGCATCAAATGGTAACGGTGGCAGGATTTCTCTTACATACACGTGTTTCCAACGCTTGTTCTGGTTGTATTTACCCATAGTGCTCTGTGCTACAGTTTGCTTCCTACTTTTGGAGTGGCCTTTGGTCTGCTTGCATTCATATATGCATTCAAACCGCACCGGAGTTCACATCATCAAGCAGACGCCTACATTTTTAGACAGACCAGAGTTCGCTTTCTTGGTGTACATCAGAGTTTGGTTGCACGTTCACAGCTCCCCAAACGAACCAGACTTTCTGGTTTAAATGTATCTATTGGATTCTCTGGCTCTAACTCACATGTTCATGTTTCTCCTAAGCAAATCCTTGACCCTGCTGCTTTGGGACTGAAGGCATGTTAGTAACCCCCATCACCTGTGAAGGGTTTGAACTTGTTCTCCAGATCAAACGCCTGTTTGCCAAGCGTTTTCAGATCCACACGCAATCCGGGGCAAATGGCAAACTCCTCAATGATTCTGCTGAGCTGGTAGATCTTGCTTGTGACCTCCTCCCTGGCTGGACCTGGAAGGAATGCAGAAGAATTTCTTTTTTTTCCCGCCAAATCAATATTCATAAGTACTGTGGTGTGTTCCCCTGGCTTAGTCACCAAAGGCATCTTTGTATTATCCAGAAGAAGCTTTTGAACTATCAGTTTTAGAGTCTGAAACTACTTCTCTCACATTGCCATACCTCCACTTGCTGTGTTAAACTTTATGCCAAAGTCTCCGTTGGGTCCGCCTGGGTTGTGGCTGGCAGTGAGGATGATCCCACCAATGGCTTTGTATTTCCTGATCACACAAGACACCGCTGGCGTTGACATCATCCCATGGTGACCAATGATAAGGCGACCAATCTGTGGAAACGTCACACGGGACCGTTTGAGTCGGGGCAGAGGAGATCGGTGCGGGGATGTCCCGTTTCCTTCCACATGTAAGTGGAACTAGGATTAACGCCGACATTAAGAGTAAGTTCCAGCACGGATGAGTGTATTTTAACCCTCTATAATAAATTGGCTGAGCTAAAAGAGCACAAGCCACTCAGATGTGATGTAATTTAAACCCAGAGACCATAGAGAGCTTTTTACTGATGCTGGCTGCGCGCCTGAAACCAGAACGGTTCGATATGTTTCTAGTGGAGCAGATCAGAGCCAGGAGCTGAAACTATTCTGCTGACTTAGATTTTTACTTTGGATGTGCAGAGCTTCACTTCTTCTGCCACTTTCTGCTATATGACTGCTGAGTTATGCTATATTGGCATTTGTTGGAATTGCTCATTAATCAAAGTGATTGACAGATTTTCATGTGAGGTCACAAAATGTGCTGCTCCTTACAGAAGAAAATTCAGCATCATCCATCATCTAATATGTTTAAATAAATGACTATTGCTATTTCAATAATAAAATAATAATTCAATAATTTTTTTGGGGGGGGGAGGGCAAAAGTTTACTCCTCCTCTTTTGTATCTAAAATGGCCCTAATACTTTCACATTTTGTAATAATTGGCACAAAATGTTATATGTGTGGCATAAATTATTGCAAATTGGATTTTATTACTTTTTCGATCATTATATATTGCAGCTTTAATTTTATTACATTTTGAAACCTGATTTTATTATTATTATTACTACTATTACTATTACTACATATTACGTGTTGTTCCAAGGTTAACTCAAACACTTAAAACAAAAATGTCCTTCAAGAAATAAGCAAAATATTAACTTCCTGCCCAAGCTAAAGGGGGAAAAAAGAATAAAATGCTACTTCAGTCACAAGTGGTCAAATAAAGTTCAAGTCAGTGTCAGTTAAAAACGAGCCACTGACTTTTTAAGAGATGAACATAGAGATAGAAGTAGCTAACGGAGCAAACACCTGCTGACTTTAGCAGAAGCATTTATGTGCTACTTGTGTAGCATATCATCGCTTCAGACTGTTCTGCTCCTCCGAAAGCTAACATTTGTCGGCTAATTAGCTGGTCTCCGTTAGCTAGCCAACTTTTAGCCAAGGTTTTAAAACCACCAAATCCATACATCCCATCATAGCTTTTTATGTGGCCCTCTAGACTCCAGATGCCAAATTACATAAATTAATTTTTCCCAATTATGCGATCATGGAAATTCACACACAGTCATCAGATCCCTGCAATTTTTTCATGTTAATGCATAACTTTTTTTTAAGATTTTTCAAATTTTCTGCTAAAATGGTCAAAAACATTGGGTTTAAATGACTGCTAACCCACACCAGTAGGCAGCAGGGTTTTTTACTTGTACTACACTCCTGCCTCAACCTTACTAATGTCTCTTGTAGTCCGTGATGTAAACTGTGAGTAGCTAAAAGTCACATTTGGTGTTATATAATACATATAACCACAAACTTTGCAAATTTCTTGGAAATTTTTTAGCTCCACAAAATAAGTGATTTTGATAGAAATCAGAAAAACAATCCCAAAATATTATAGGGACTGTTCAAAGTGAAAACATTATTTAATTTTAAGAAGTACTTATTTAATACAGAGAGCTGTTTTCTCTAGTTGAACAGTTTGTGTTTTATTAAGACGTTGTGGCACAACCAACCAGAGCTTTGAGAACATTCATGATCTTGATACGGCCCCCAAATGAAAATGGGCTTGACAACATAAAATCTCAATAAAATGCATGTTGTAAAGTGACAAAATGCTAAAGATAAGAAAAAAAACAAAACAAAACAAAACAACAAAAAAAACTTTTGCAACACAGCCAAAATATTTCATGTGCTTCATACAATCAAGTGATGGGGCAGGTGACACTGACATGCCCCAGGTTCTGGGGCATGTCAAATAATAGTTTTTTGTAAACAAAGTCACCAGTATTTATGTGTGCAGCCAACCACTTTTTTAGTGTATGCACACACACACACACACACGCGCACACACACACGCATTCACACAAACACACACTGACTGACCCCGTTGGCGGCTGCCATCTGAACGAGGACCCCGATAGCCGTTCTGTTGAAGAAACGTCCGTCTCCTCCCACCACCAGGGTTGCACCCTGACGGTCGGGCAGGTCTATGGAGGAGAAGATACTCTGGATGAAGTTGTGCAGATAGTTTTTCTTGGACTGAAACACATAAACCTTCTTCCTAAGGCCGCTGGCTCCTGGTCTCTGGTCAGGATAGGGGGCCGTGGGGAAGGTCAGGACCTGCAGAGGCCCGTTCTCCATCGCTTTAAAATGAGGATCCAACTTGAAGTTCCATGCAGAGAGAACACATTTCTTTTTTCCCCCCCTCCGTCAGCCGCAGTAATGAGCTCTGAGGAACAGAATGGACAGTGAAGAGCTCGACGACTCCTATTATTTCGCTGGGTTACAGCAGGACTTCTGCAGCTCAAAATAACCTTTGCAAACTAATGTGTGTGCAGAGGCAGGGTGGTAACTGAAGACGCTCCTTCACACATGTGCAGGGAGATCACTGTCAGGGCTCCAGGCCCAGTCAGAGAGAACTGTGTGTGTGTGTGTGTGTGTGTGTGTGTGTGTGTGTGTGTGTGTGTGTGTGTGTGTGCGTGCGTGCGTGCGTGCGTGCGTGTCAGAGTGGGGGGTTATTTATCAGCGTGTGAAAGGATGCAGCTGTGCTCCTGGTAATGATGTGCAAAAACAGGGATGGCATTTCTCATGTCATTCATCAGCAGCATGTGCACATGACTTACAGAAACCTAAAACACACAAGAACAACAACAACAAAAAAAAAGAAAACGTATTTAGCACAATCACAGTAATTGGTAATGAGAGGCAGAACAACGCTGCCCTCTAGAGGCTGTTAAAAGCTCAACCATAACAGCACAAAGAGCTAAAGTAGAAATAGTCACCATAGCTGCTACACGTTGTTGGAACAAAGTAAATATAATCAGTGCAGGTTGTCAGCAGACGAAAATTATGTTCAAGTAAGAGAAGTTCAACTTTAACTTATTTTTACTCAAGTACATGTAAAAAGTAGCCGTCCATGAAATGACTCAAGAGTAAAAAAGTATTTGGTAAAAAGGAGACTCGATTGTTAACTGATCAAAACTTCAATCATCTAATATTTAAAAATGACATGATCATGTGGAAGTGATGTGGAAATGTTGGTATTTTAAACACCAAATATGAAAATAATTCAAATAAATAGCATCAAATAAAATCAGGAAATCAACGTTTATAAATCAGTTTCTTTCTACTTAAAACTTATGAAATTTTACAAAAACCGCAGGTGTGTGAAGGATGTTTGGTTGAAACAAAAGTCATTCAGTGAAGTCACTCACAGTGAGCAGAGTGTCCAGAAAGTTTAATCAAGAAAGACTAGTGATACTTCATAGGTACAGCATTCTCAAGTAAACAAAAAAAGAGAATGGAGCTCCGACTTTTAAAAAAATTGAGTTAATTTGTCACATGTAGTCAAAATAAACGTACTTTATTCACGTTTGTTTAACACGACAACCCAATAAACTTAATATATTTTCTTGGATGAATTTATTTTGATTACTTGTGACAAACGGGCCATTATTTGATTGTTTACAATGAGTGTAGCAACTACAGACAGCAGGTGATGGACCAGAGATGGACAGTGGCATCAGAGGGAGTTGACAGAGTCCAGAGGATGGATGGAGATCTGTGTGAAAGCGAAGGAGTGAGACGCCTTTCGCCCCGACCTCCACTGTACGCCTCTCCTTCGCTCTGAGCGCCCATTGGCTCTCACGCGCGAGTACCTCTCATTAAGTCGCCTCTTAATGGCGACGCCATTAAGGTTGGCGTCGCCACAGGAGCTGAGCCACCATCCCCCTAAAAAATGAAGGAGGAGATGATGATGTGCTGACCAGACATTACGACCACTTACTCTGTCAGGTGGGAAACGTCTGCTTTACCTGATTGGGGGTGGGAACACCTGGATGCCCAGTGGCGGCCATTGTCTCTGTCCTTGGTGGAAAACACCACTCCCGTGTGGTTGCTCAAGGGGTTGGGCAGACTTCCAGACAGATATTCGAGTTGTATGGCATAGTCACTCTCCGGGCCTTCGAGGTAAAATCTGTATTCGATAAAATGTCTGTTCTGCTTCCAGTCTTCCAGCTGGATGTGAAGGACAGAGTTCCCCTGCGAGGCAAGGGAGTACATCTTCTTGAGGCCCAGCCAAAACTCACCTGAGAGAGAAAGAGAGGCCAACAGGTTTACCATGGACAGGCAGAGGGACGGAAACAGAGGACCCAACACACACATTAAAATGAATTGTTTTTGTGACGACAGAAAACAGGAACTCCACAAATAATTATAAAAAGTATACCACAAATACTTTGACATTTAATCTGTACGAGTCAATGGAAAACAAATTTGTTAGAAAGAAAATACAAAAAAAATAATAATAATAATAAGAGTTACAACATGGTTGTAGAATTGCACACACTATTAAACTCATCCTTTGTTGATTTCATTTCAGCATTCTGTCTTCTTTGGTAAGAGTCTGTCAGTATCCTACAATATGCATGGAGTCACATTTCCAACATGCCCACATGATTTGTGCCAGTTTGGCTTAGCTGAAGATTATTTTAATATCAGGTCTGCAGAAAGGCAATACTAGAGTGATATTTATCTAAATCTGTGGGTCTTTAAATGGCATTAAAAGTCAAGTAAGTAACCCAAAATGTCATGGCAGTGACTAAGTATTCCATCATTCCATGGTGCCCATCTCCAGCAGTGATTGGGCAAGAGGCTGGGTACACCACCAGGCAACATAGAGACACACAAGAAAAAACAACCATGCACACACACACCTAAGGACAACATAACCTAACAGTCATGTTTTTGGACCGTGGGAGGAAGACATTGCTGAAACAAAACAGTGCTACCAACTGAACCATCATGCACCACTTAATCTCGAAGAGTCACTCACATCGGCATACCAAATGCTTGAAGTGTTTAAAACAGCAGCAGACTTGGCCTTATTTTCTGATTAATTCAGGTTATAGTTATTATTTGTCCAGTTGGTGGCGTTCTAAGATGGTTACAAAAGATTAGTGAATGTGGCAAAAACTAACTCCATTCTGACAAGCACATTGTGAGTTTCATAGCCTTTATCCCAAAATGTATGCAATACATACATTTAGCAGAGACGTATCTTATGGCAACACAGACTTCATGTACGTCACGGGACCTGGCATTTGGTCAAGGTTGTCTTTCTTCACATTTAAATAAACATAAAACATATTTTAAATGCAGCAGCATAACATAAAATTGAAGTGGTCAACTTACTGTATTAGATAAATCTCAGATTAACTTGTGGAATCAGATCATTCAAATCGTCTCTCACCTTGCAACTCTCCAAATCCATTTTCATACTTTTCCCATGGTTGATCAAAATTCATTGATCCGTCTCTCCTCTGCTGGATAACTGTCGCTCCACGACCTAAAGGCAAGAACGGTCAGGAACTGCACAGTAAAACGAATTACAACAGCCATCTTTTAGAATCAGCAAATATATGTAATGTAGAAACTCAAATCTTTTTGAAACCTTGAAAATATAATTTTGTTCTTTTTAACTATTAAACAGCTTTATCAAAGCTTTATAAGCTTAAACAGTTGAAAGTACCACATCTGTTTCTGATCCTTACAGTAAGGCTTGCATTAAGTCCTGATTTGGGGAGACAAGGAATCAACGTAAATTACCAATTAGTGTTTTATCCAACAACTTATGGATCCAAAAACAGTCTAAATGCTGCCGTGAATATGGCGTACCTCTGCTCATATCACAAAAGACCATGAAGGGCTCTGACCCGTTGGGTTTGATGGCGTAGGTCCCGTTTGCCCGTTCCCCTCTGTCAAACAACTCGCTGCAGTCTGATGGGAAATCTGTTGCAAAAAAAGCTACAGAAAAGAAAAAAAAAGGAAAATATAAACAAAAGCAAAGAGTGGTGGTGAACACTAAGAGGACACAGACAAAAAAATAATCAGAGTATTTTTTCCTTCCCCTGATTTTGCAGATGACACAGGAAAGAAGATGGAGTACTGATGATGTTAGGGTAGCATTAGCAACATTTACAAAAAGTAAATGCAGAATAAACAGAGTAGATAAATCAGTGAACAATATTAATATTTCTAGCATGCAGCCAAACTTGTGACAATGTCCTCTAAATCAAGAAGAGAAAAAAAAATCATTTAATGCAATTCCTTTCTGCTGATTCACATGCAATGCTGGGAAGAAGCAAAGCTGCTCATATTTAGCTCACTGTCATCCGTCATAACAGAAATGCAACATAGTTAAAAAAGAAAATAAAAAAATCTTCAGTCAGGCTGAAACACAACAGCCACATTTTTCAGATCAGATATTTTCTTCTGTTTCTCTTTGAATCCGATTAATCCCAACATCAACAGCATTAAGGTTAAAATCAACGCTTCAAAGGCTGAACTTCATTTTTACCCCTCAACCGACCAATCTGTAGGTCAGATTGATCAGCTCTACATCTGACAAGAACGTCTCCTAAAATGGAGTGTTTATGCTTTATACATACTACCTTGTGTAAAACCGTAACAACACAACGCTAAATGTTTCAGTAAAGACACTTTGAATCTAAAAATGTAACAATAGAAGCTTCTCTTATAATCAGGATCTAGTTATGGATCTAGGAGATGCAGTCCCTTGTTGTAAATCCATTTGCAGAAAACATCTTGGAGTCTCTGCCCGATTCTAAGCTCTGAAGTCGGGCATTAAATCTTTAAATCTTCTTCTGTTTACTATTCATCTCACTCGTCGTTGTGCCGCTGCTGGTGTCTGAGGTCAGGAAGGGGGCGGCTGTTGGTAATTCAGACATGGAGATCTCTGACATCTTCTCAAAGGTTTCCTGGGCCGATGCGCCGGCTGCCAGCTGTGGACGTGAAGGCAGAAAAACATCTCAGTTTGCAGTCATAAGTGGCACATTCACTCATAGCGGCTCGAGAGCTCCTGTTCCGCGAAAAACATATTATGTACTTTAAAATATTAACTTAATTTACAGAAGTTAATATGCTGAAATTGACGGGAGATTTGGAGCGTTTACTTTTTCCTCCAGCAGCTTGATCTTCATGGTCTGGTGGTCCAGATGCCTCCCTTGTTCCACCATGGCTGCCAGCAGGCTATTAATGCTCTGATCCTGGCGCTGCATCACTTCCTGTTCAACAAGTGAATTACATTTACAGTTACTAAATTCCTGTAAATATGAACTGCATGGAGAGGCAAGAGAAGAAAAAAAATGAGGGGGAAAAAGTGAACAGAACTTGTTAAAGTCGGTGTGCTGGAACCGCCGTGGATTCATTAGGCACCACTAAGCTGTGCTCACAACAATACTGACTGGTAACTTTTTAGCAAGATGGAGACGCTTGTTTTAGGAGACTCATTTTTTTTTTATATATATTGATGTGAAAGTTTTGGTTCCACGGGCAAAATATTTAACTTACAACATGAGAAAAATGTATATTTTTATCAATGAAATAATCAACCAATGGAATCGGTACTTTTTTCAATCAAAATTAAGGAGTTATTGATTTAAAACAAGCCACTCCATCTTGCTAAAAAGTTCCTTGTAAATTAGTTTTGTGTTATTTAAAGTGTATCTAGATGTCTGCACTAGAAATTAGATCCAAAATACTTGTGTTTTTTTTGCAGTGCGCTTAAAAAACTACTGAAAACTGTTTCTATATTTTCTGTTATTAATCTAACAATCTAACGTGGGTGTTAAAATTGGACCAAAACCTAATCGAGTGAGTGCGTTTCTAGCTTTGGTGGGTTAATTTTTTGGCCCCTATTTAGCTCCATACTATAAAACTAAGCTAAATGCAGAATGAGAACTCAAGAGTTTGCTTGATAAGAAAAAGTTTCCTTTTGATTTTTTTTCATGAAACATTTAGAGACTTTAAAGTTGATGTCCAAACCAGCTGGCATTTCAGAAACGTACGGGGAAAAAAATCAGAAACTTTCCCTGACCACAGGAAAGGTGGACATGACTCACCATGTCCACCTTTCCATAGATGGACATTCATTCTTGTTGAAAGAAAAACAAAAATGAATCCACAGCCGCATACCATTCAAATAAAAATATGGGTAATGCAATTTCTAAGTATGATTTTCAAATTAATTTCAGGTTAATGATTAGTTTCTACTTGTCATTTTTACCTAGATAAACTGGTTTTAGGTTTATTAATCCTATGAATTTAGTAAAAATGTTCTTCAAATGACTGGACTTGCATAGTTTTGAGTAATTTTATTTTAATTTCCGGGTGTGCGCCCCAGAAGGACTGCGTCACTCCACAGCTGCTTGTCTCTCATTAATGTTAATAGATGTTGGCAGGTATGATGTAGTCTTGATATTCTGTTTCATGCAGCTCTGAAAAAAACAATCAGTTCTCTGATTTTACTCGTTATAGGTACATGTTTGAGTAAAATGAACATTGTTGAACTACTGACAACATATCTCTGAAATTCCAAGCAAAAACTTAGTATTTATTTTTCAGAAAATGAGAAATGGTCAAAATAATAAAACAGATGCAGAGCTTTCAGACCTCAAATAATGTAAAGAAAACAAACAAACAAAAAAAAAGTTTATATTAATTTAAAAACAACAAAACTAATGTTTTAGCTCAAAGAGTTCAGACATCAGTATCTGGTGTTTTCAGTGGGGTTCAGTGCAGGACTGTATGTAGTTAACAGTTTTAATTGGACAAAACTATTTAATTTCATATGTGAATGTATGTAAATAAGCACTGATGTTTAGAAAAATGCATCAACGAATAACTTCTTTTGGGCCGTGGCCCTGCTGGGGGCCAAGCACCCTTAAAGGTCACATCCTAGAATCGCCCCTGTCACTCACTCTGAGGCTGTCGATCTCCGCTACCTGCCTGACCGTCACCAGGTCCACAGACAGGCTGCTCAGCTGCTCCTCCATGACTTCCACTTTGTTCAGAAGTTGGCCTTTCTCCTGCAGGATGCTCTCCATCTTGACGCTGATCTTCTTGGACAGCTCCTTGATTTCCTCGTTGTGTGTGTTGAGCACGGCGGCGGTTTGCTTCAGCTCCTCCTCGCCCTCCTTGATCTCCCCAGCCAGCGCCGCCAGCCGGACGAAGGAGCGGTCGAAAATGTTCAGCTTCTGGAAGATTGTGTTGATCTGCCCCTTCGTCTTCTGCACGAACTCCCGCATGCTCTGGCCAAGCTGCAGCAGGCCGTTGGACAGGAGGTGCACATCGTCCAGGGGAGCAAACAGTGAGCGGGTTTCAGGCAGAGCCTCCAGGTTCAGGACCGGAGGCTGGCTGCTATCACAGAGGACAGGCACAGAGGCCAGGACCAGGAGAAAGACGACAGGAACCGGCGTTGTTTTCATGTTTCCCCCTCCCAGTGTTTGAGCTGTCAAGCTATCAGCTGGCTCCTCGGACAAAGAGCCACTGGGTGAAAATTCATAGCTTTATCCTCCCTCTGGGATCAAGTCAATGATTAATCCTGATCAATATTACGGCATTTAAAGTAGAACGACGACAACATCAAAAAAAAGTTAAAGAACGATGTGGTTTTGGTGTCATTTATGGAAGAAGCAGACAAGAAATTACACCTTTTCTCCACTAAATGTTTTTGAATTGAATCAACTTCAGGAAGAAGTCAATGTTTTAAACATTAAAGGGGCAGTATTATGTGTTTTCCAGCTAGAGTCATTATGTAGCACAATTAAGTCACTATGTTACCTTCAGGCTGCTATAAAAATCCTATGTATCAAATCAAATACAACTTAAAAGAAATTTGATTTCATAGTTGATGTCTCTGTCTCTTTAAGAAACTCCTGCTCTTTCTGAAATCTCCACCAATGTTTTCGAATACTGACTTCAACGACTGATGAGCTCAGGTTTCTTCCTCCAAAGGTCTCTCTCATATCAAAACCCTACGGAGGTGAAGAATCTGCGGCCTTGTTCACGAATGATTCGTTTCAGAGTCTGTTACATGACAGGGCTGTTTCAGCGAGCCAACAAGCTTTCCGAACAGTTATGGTTACAGCTGATTTGTACTGGAGGACGATGCCAGCTGGGACAGACATCTGAGCGAACCGAAAAAAAGTCTTCAGATTCCTCCATCTGTTCTACGTTTCTGCAGTTCTTTTGCCAAAGGTCCCCACTGAGACCGCGCACCCCTTTGTCTCCAGTAAACATTTACAGTTGAAGAAGCTACTAGTAGAAAAACGGCCAGGTTTTTTTCTCCCCCCTCAACATGTCCAGAATAACCGAATAAGGCTTAGATTTCATTCACTTCGCAATCTAAAGAAATGTTATGTTCTCACTAAAAGAAGAATCCTCCTCTCTCTGACAGCAGCGTTTCCCCGTCACCCAAAAATGCTCATTTAGAAGGGAAAATGATGCATTTTTTATATATTTTACTTTCCTGCCCTGAAAATCTACATCTGCGCGTCAACAACCGACAGCACATTTCTCAAGTTGTGTTTTAATATTATTCCAGACTAGATTTATGCCCCACATCTAAATATGATTGAGCTGTAAATCTTTCTCTGAAACTAGATTTGAGAAGTTTTTTTTTTTTTCTTGCAGTTTGGCCAAACTAACAGCAGCATGTGGTCAGTCTGTCAGCAGTTTTTTTTTCTCCATTAAAGGTTTGTGTTTTTCTTTTCCTCCCTCTCCCTCTGATCAAACCGCAATCCCTCTCAGAGTCACTTGTCTGCTGGTAATGGAAAATGGAGGATCTTTTACTAATTCTTTTTCCATTCATGGCAGGGCAAATGACCCAAATTGCAGTTCTTTACTCAGCGTTTCATGAGTGTTGCTTTGTTTGTTTTTCTTTGGACTTAGACTGAATTATCCACAGAGAAGTTTGTGGGTTGAAATTGATGGGAAATGCAGTTCCTGTAGGACTGTCGGCCCCCGAGCAGAAGCACAGACACAGTAAAAGTAAATGGGAAGGAGAGATTTACAAGAAACAGACATAAAAAAAAAAGTGAAGAGACTCATTGGACCACATCAGGGTTCATTGGAGTCTGGGAACATCCATTTAGATGTGCTAGGACACTTAAATACAGAAATTAAGCATAAGTGTCCTAAATTTTTCCTCAGAATTTGAACAAAACCAAGGTTTTGATCCCTGTAATTATTTATTACGAGTGGGAGAGAAGTGGGATAAAGATCAGAAGAGTTGTTGAATGTGCGTAACGTCGCAGCCTTTAAGTGAGTCTCCAACAGGAGCCGTCATGCCACTGAACATATAGCCACAAGTGCTTGGAGTGCCTTTAAAACAGTTGTCATACCACACAGTACAGAAACCTGAAACTATTATGCAAGAAGGGCCCCATGCGTCCACTCTGCACAGAAACACAAACAAGCTCTTTTGGCATGAGCTCCTCTCAGTCGGACACAGGCTCCGTGGTCGGACGAGTCCAACTTCACAGTTCTGATGCTGTTGTCAGTCTTGTAAGACGACTATGGCCGAACATTTCTAATCCAGTGTCATCATGTCTCCAAATATTTTTAGAGGATTGACTTCTTCCTCCCTGAGTGGCATTTGACCCCATGTAGGTACGGTGGACTCCTTCGTGTTCACAGTTTTGTATTTGTGGATTTTCTGTGGAATGAAGCTCCAAGTTATTAATTGAAAGTTTGTGCAGTTTTTCAAAAAGTACATCTAAAATGTTAAAAAGAAAATACAGCTTAGGAAGCTGAAACACTTTGGCACAATGTTACTTGACATCCTATTGGCTGGCAAAGGAGTCGATCAAAAGTCGAGATTCATTGTCCTTTGTGCTGCTTGGCTGCAGCCCAAAGGCTGGAAATAAGTAATACTGCGGATGTTAGCGTCTGCGGTAGTTCCAACACAGTTTCCACTGTATAGTATGCATAGTGATGCATATTGTGGAGGGGTGCACCGATAATTAACTGGCCCAGAGTTCCTTAATTCTGAATGAACAGCCCATACTTAGATGAGAAACCATCTTATCTACCTTCAGAAAGCCTGAAAATCAGTCATTATCCCTTTTTGTTCTCCCGCGGCAGAGGCTCCGCCGAACCCCTGAGCCCGACTCATCGAACCGGCGGAGCCTCTGCCGCGGAGGTAAAGACACACTGTGTAAAGTCGTGATGACGCCCCGCTTTGCCATCTCTTGCTGCAGAGGATCACGTTACATTGCTTAGCCAATCAGAGCTGCGGAGGAGCACTGATTGAAGGAGTTCAACTCTCAGCATGGATTTAAACTTGTGTCTTTACTTCGGTGTACTTCTAAATCTGCTCCTTAGTCGCATCTTTTCGGGGTTGGTACTGCCTCTAGTGGCGTGGGGGTGGTAACACAACTAATATAATTATATTACTAAATCAGAATACCGCAAAGTCTCCATTATTTATTATTAAATTATCATTCTCTTAAGAATGTAGAGCTAATTAAATGATTTAAACAAGACCTTAAAGTGGTTCCAGTTTCTCTCGATGGCCAACCTGCTGAAACTGTGGCAAATTTTAAATACCTTGGGTCGTTCCTGGACAGTCAGCTCAACTTTGCTGAAAACACTGACTATATTTTGAAGAACTGTTCTCAGAGACTCTACCTTTTAAGAAGACTTAGTGATTTTGGGGTGACCCAACTAGACTCCTATGTCTTGAATTTGGGGGGGAGGAGGGGAAATCATATTTTATTTATCACTACAGAAGGGTTAAGTGAATGCGCATATGAAACTGGTGGGTTCGGTACCTCAAAAAAGGTTAAGAACCACTGACTTAAATCAATGAGTAATTATTGATTTTATCTATTTGCAGGTGATTTTGATAAAAAAAATACATGCATACAAGCTTCTGGACATTAATAAAACCAGCAACGCTGAAAGTCTGATTTTTGGCTAAATATAGGCTGTTGACATGTATGACTTCAAAGTAAGTGATTGGTTTTACCACAATATATTTACCTGCAGAGGTCAGGCAGTCTTGATCCCTGTGTTATTATGATCCTCTGGTATTATAAAGAGTTGGGCATAGATGCTGCTGCCCCAGAAGAAGATGCTAGTCACATTCTGAAAGAGGATCCACGAAGAACGAGCGGCATGCCGCTCTGAACATGATCACACAGGAGCCACACCACAGTGGGTTAGAGTTCTCATACCAGGAGGTCTGTTTGTTACTCATGTTGCCTTTTTTTAATTCTGGTCAGCACTCAGCTTTTTTTCCAAGCTCACATGTATGGAGAGCCATTTGCGCCAAAATTAACTAAATAAATAAATGGGTTAA